GCTCGGAGCTTGCCCGCCAAATTTATAGGCAGACATTAGCCCAAGGCGAACACGCCCCCTAAGGGGCGGGACTTATCCCTACATGCGATAACTTCTCTAAGTGCCTTGGCTGCTTACTGCAAGCTCCATGAAACCAGTGCTGAACCCATTTGCCTCCCAAACTGCAGCTCCATCCTGTGGTCTCACTGGTTCGAGGACAGCACCTTCTGTTCAAGCCAGAAATCTGGAAGGTGACCTTCATTTGAGCCTTTCTTTCCCACCTCACCTCCCCAAATGGCCACACCTTCAGTTAGACCTCCCAGCCATAGTCAGGATCTCTCCCTCTTCCATCCTGCCCCTGCTGAAGTACGTGAACTATCATCTGTCCAGTATCCTTAGCCATGCCCCTGCCTCCACAACCTAGTAACCATGCCCCTGCCTCCACAACCTAGTAACCATGCCCCTGCCTCCACAACCTAGTAACCATGCCCCTGCCTCCACAACCTAGTAACTATCCCCCTGCCACCACAACCTATTAACTATCCCTCTGCCTCCACAACCTATTAACTATCCCCCTGCCTCCACAACCTATTAACCATTTCCCTGCCTCCACAACCTAGTAACCATGCCCCTGCCTCCACAACCTATTAACCATGCCCCTGCCTCCACAACCTATTAACTATCCCCCTGCCTCCACAACCTATTAACCATGCCCCTGCCTCCAAATTTGTTCCCTCTAACAATGATTCCCTCCCTTCCTACTGCTTCCAGTTGTCCTAAAATGCAAATTAAGTCTTGGTAATCCCCAGCATAAAATTCTTCCCAGAGCTCTGAAGACCACATGCTGAATGTTATGCCAAGTTCGCTGAGTCCCCGAAAAACCAACAAGGAGACCAAGTCCTGTATGTAAAAGCAAAGAGCCTTTATTCTAATTCAAGTTGGAAATAGGACTCTCTGTGGGTTCAGTGCATTGAAACAAACAGAGCCTTGAGCTCAGTTTGGTGGGCTACTTAAAATTCTAGTTTAGGCATGCTGTTATTATGTATAAGTTTCTTTTGAGACATTCCCTCCAGGAGAAGAACTTCTGAGACTCCGGAAGCAGACCTGCTGTCTGAGAAAGCTGAGCTTTACTGGATTGCCGAAGACCCCCTCACTAAATTACCGAAGCGTTAAACAGCTGCTGGGGGAGAAAAACTACCTGCCAAGTACAGACCTCTCTAGACTGTGGAGCTCCCTGCAGGCTGTGCAGAACTCCAGGGCTGGAGGCTGTGGCGCTAGATAAAGGCTGTGCAGAGATCATGGCTGCAGACCTCTCTGGGCTGCAGAGCTACCTGCAGGCTGTGCAGGGCTCCAGGCTGCAGATCTCTCTGGACTGTAGAGCTACCTGCAGGCTGTGCAGGGCTCCAGGCTGCAGATCTCTCTGGACTGTAGAGCTACCTGCAGGCTGTGCAGGGCTCCAGGCTGCAGATCTCTCTGGACTGTAGAGCTACCTGCAGGCTGTGCAGAACTCCAGGCTGGAGGCTGTGGAGCTACCTGCATGCTGTGCAGGGCTCCGGGCTGCAGATCTCTCTGGGCTGCAGAGCTACCTGCAGGCTGACAGAACTCCCGGGCTGCAGACCTCTCTGGACCTCCAGGCTGAAGGCTGTGGAGCTACCTGCAGGCTGGCAGAACTCTGGGGCTGCAGACCTCTCTGGACTGCTGAGCTGGCTACTGGGAACCTGTGAGACTTTCAAGAAAGCAACTTTGTAAGTCCTTGGCTGTGTAGGGTGGGCCTTTGGATAATGCAACCCACTCAAATCTCTTTTCAATCTATTCTGATCATGCTTTTCCCCTGCTGCAGGCCCCATATCCTCCCTACCACCCCATCCAACCAACTCCATGACCCTTTCCTCTTTTCAAAAGTTAGGTCCAAATCGGGTACCCCAAAACAGCAGTGACAATGTCCTGAGCAGAGGGACTCTGACTGGGTAAATAGAAGCCTAAATTCAGCATCCCCCAGGAAACTCCTAAAACAGGTTTCTGCTTACCAGGATCCTCTATTAACCTGCCCCAAGGTCAATCACCTTGGGCAAGAGCACCTAGCTCCCAGTTCAGCCTGTATACACTCAAAAATCCACACCCTGATGTTATATAAAATCCTCTTGTTTTCTGAAATTCTGCTCCTGTCTGTCCCGATCCCAAGAGATAGTCTGGGCAGTCAGATGTCCAATAACCTTTCTTGATACCTATGTATGGAGCATTCTAGTTTGGTCATTTCACTGTACCCTTGAAGTTGCCTAAAGGTGAAACAGTCCTTCAGGCTTCCTGCCACATGAAAGAGTCTTCCATTCTGCAGGACACAGAGGACAAACTGCCAATATAGGCTGAACTGTCTTTGAAATTTCCTGCTTCATGGGAAAGTCTGCCAGATAACTGTGGGTCTATAGGCTGGAGATGGATGCCCCAGTGTTACAGAACTTTGGGTGACTGTCCAGGCAGTGAGATGACTCTGTCAATTCTAGAGTTTTGAAAGTTGCTTACAATGCACTTCCTGTTTACTTAGGTAATATATCCTTCTGGAGTCTTTGATGGAGTTGAAGGATAATTATATTTTTCCTAAGTTTTGATAAAAGATAAATTAGATATAAATATTGTAACTATAATTGCTTGATAACTGTTTTGTTATATGTAATTTTACTATATTAAAGTTAAAACCTTCCTTTTTATTTAGACAGAAAAGGAGAGGTGATATGGGATTCCCCTCTGTATGCTGTGAATGTTTTATTACCATTGGTTAATAAAGAAACTACATTGTGCCTATGGCAAGGCAGAATATAGCCAGGCAGAAAATTCAGAGATAGAGAAGGAAAGTAGGCGAAGCCAAAGAGACGTCATGTAGCTGCTGAAAGAGATGCTTACCAGTTGGCCACAGCCTTGTAGTGATACATAAATAGAAATGGGTTGATTTAAGATATAAGAGTTAGCCAGGAACATGTATGTCTAAGTCATTGGCCAAGCAGTGCTGTAATTAATAGAGTTTCTGTGACTATTTCGGGTCTCAGTAACCAGAAAACAAGCAGCCTCCCACTACAGACCCTCACACAAACAAGCAAACAAATGGAATACAGGTGGGGGGATCAGAACCCAGAATATACAAGCAAAAGACCAATAATAGGCAAAGAATGTCTAAACAAAACAAAATCAGACAAAAAGTCTACAAAAATACTAATGAGTTCATTCTGTGTTAACCAACCCTGAAGTGTGGCTAATATCCCCAGTGAGACTCCATTAGAGAAAACTAGTTTGTTCTTTGCCAGCAGGTACCAACTGCAGACAGCTTCTTGGCTATTGGTAGGAGCGGATGTACATTTTCCCTCCTCTGGCTTGATTCTGTGCAGGCCATGTATGCGTTGCCACAGCCTGAGTTCATATGTGTGATGGCACCACTTTTGAGTCATTCCTGCTCCTGTAGTACCAATAAAAACCCATTGGTTCTTGGGGTGTGATGGCACCCACCTTTATTCCCAGCAGAAATCTGATTAAGAGCCCAATACAGTCTACATAGCAAGTTCCAAGCTAGTCAAAGATATGTAGCAAAACCTTGTCTCAGAAGGACAGAGGGAGGGATGTAGGGAAAAGAGGGAGGGAGGGGGAAAGGAAAGAAAGGAAGGGAAAACTCATTGGCTCACCAAGTTGGATTTCGGTGCAATGGTTTGGTCTGTAGTGGGTGCCCCTTCTGGTCATTTATGTTCCAAACAGGTTATTCCAATTACTTTTTATTTTATATACATTTTAAAAAGAAAGGAAGGAAAGTTTTGTACATACACTGTGCTAGGCACAATGGATACATTCACTAACAAACCAGACAGTGTCCCTGCTCTCAGGGAGCTGACAATCTGAGGAGGAACCACACCACTCCAAACCCACACTGACACCAATTCTTCACAAACTGAGGGGAGCTAAAAAGGCAGAGGAGGAGGTTTTCAAAGTTCATAGCCATCACGGATTGTGTACGGCCTGAGTAGTCTGGAGGAGTTTCTGTATGGAAGAAGGTTCTGGGCTAGGAGCTAAGGCTTTTGTTTAAATCAGATGAAACCAGGTTAGAGTGTGCCTAACACACCCTAGAACACACTCTAGGCAAGGGACAAAAGCCTGTGAGAGGAGCAGGAGCACAACCCGTTTACAAATACGTCAAGGCTCCCTACAGCTCGTGTGTAGACACAGGGGAAAGGGCAAGGCCAGCATGCGGGAGCCAGGCAGCGCACGCAGCTTGGACGACGTCATACTTGGTGCGGGCTACAATAGCCACAGGTAGTCAAAGCCTCAAAACTAACAAGTGAATAAAGCCATAATAGACGATAAATCAAAAAAAAAAAAGAAAAAGAAAAAGAAAACGAATGCCTGTTCAGATTCTGCACTTTTAAAAGATTATTATTATTATTATATTTGTGCATACGCACACACGTGGGCTCTCACGTGTGCGAGAGCCTGAGGAGGTCAGAAGAATGTACTGGATCCCTTGCAGCTGGAGTTCCAGGTGACAGTGAGCTGCCCCATGTGGCTGCTGGGAACTGAACTGGGGTCCTCTTGAAGAGCAGTGAATGTTCTTGGGCACCGCCACCTCTGCAGCCCCTTGGTGTCCAAGATTTAAAGCATATGACACTTTGTACCATGTGTAATCATTCAATGAGACTGTACCTAGGACATTTTCTTACTGCAGCTTTGAGTTTTGGAGATTATCTTCCCAGGGAAAAGTGAAATCAGTGTTGACATGTTTTAAAAATATAAGGAAGACATAAAGAATAATTTTTGCACTGATTCTATGTACCCATGTATGCAGGTAGCCATCATAAATTGAAGGACACTTTTATGGTCTTTTGCGGGGACGGGTGCTTCAGAAAGTTTGTGCTACAAATCATGTCACTGATAGAAACAACAATGCCCTCCGAAGGTTTGCTGCTCAGCAGACAACATGTAATGACACTCAGTCTCCTAGTAGAGAACATGAAGCAATCGTACACCATTCTCTCTGAGACAGCCAGTGACTGCGAAAATGTCATTTATTCTATATGTAACAGCCTTCTCTACCATCCCTCATATTTCTTTTCCCTTTTATAATACATAGAAAATGTTCACCCTGAAAATGCAGGTACTAAAAACTACCCCAATAGAATATGCAGACCGACCACTGCGTCTGGTCCTTCTTAAATCTGGTTGAACGTTCCAGACCAATTTCCTAAGTGTTCCCTGTTGATTAGAATTCTTTAGTAACTCATGCTATAAAAACCACAGGCTAAAGTGGTCTACAGGAACACACTTTTTGTAGGTATAGTTGAAATATAAATATATTTTCCACTCTGATATTTTTCTAAATAACTGTTTTGTAAAAAGAGAAAGATCTTCATGAAGGTTTCCAATCAGGGATGCACGCTGCCCGTTCTCAAGACAGTCATTTCAGGGTGCTATCTGCAAAACAGAATACAAGAAATTACCAAAAAGAAGGAAGCTTCATATTGTAACTTTGTGAGACACAGAATGTAAAACATTATCATTTTGTTGGGGTGGCGTGGGGGTGCACATGCATGCAGGTGGCCACAGAAGAGGCTCCTGGGTCCCCTGGAGCTCATACCCAACATGAGCCCTGGAAACCGACCGCTGGCCCTCTGTAAGAACGGTACACACTTTCAATCACTGAGCCAGCTCTGCAGCCTTTCGCTTCAGTTCAGCATGAAAAGCAAGAGCATCACCCTGCTCTAAAAGACGCAGGCTGTTTCCCCAGACTCCAACCTATTCAAGTCACAAAACTGAACATCAGATGATATGCATATTTGCAATAAATCTTTAAATCGTAAGTTTAGTGGCTAAAATCTTTAAAAATAACAGGAAACAGAATTACCACCATGTTTATCATATACTTATAAAAAAAATAACATAACCCCTTACTACAGTCTTTAGTCTGTTAAGAAGAAATCTGAAAAAAGCAAACAGCATGCTGATATTAGGATGTCAACTGGACATAGTAGAGTCACCAGGGACATAATGTAATACACATGCTGTTTAAATAAACAGAAGACCTGCCGGACCAGACTGGTCTGCGGGCATATCTGTGGGCACTGTCCAGTGCACCATGGGACAGCATCAGGCCGACACAGGCAGCCGCGGGCAGTACAAGAAAGGCAGGCAAGCATGAGCCAGTGAGAGGGAGCCAGCAGGCGGCGCTCTGCTTCAGGCTCCTGTCCCGCCTCTCTCGATGATGGATGGGAGGAGACTGTGACCTGGAATGATCAGTTCCTCCCCAAGTTGCTTTTGCCCAGAGCATCTTATCCCAGAAACAGGATGAAAGTAGGACACAGGGCAAGACAAAAACGTTACCTTAACTGGTTTAACAGGGTAAACTGAGAGAACAGAAGGGCACAGTCCAGACAGGAGGCAACAAGCCCTCTCTTCCTTTTCACTCTTGCATTTAAGCCTTGATATTCATCTTAAATTTTCTGAAATACCTAAGAATTTTGTATTGCTATTTACAGACCTGTTAGCTCTTAAAAATCAAGAAAACAACTGATATCTTTAAAGTCCAAACCTAAACTGAAATGAAATGCTCACAGCTAAAGTTTTCAAGATACAATTTTTTTTTCGCTTTTAGTACTCACTCGGTATGAGAAAGTTTCAATTCTTCCCTTTGTTTTGCAGAATAATTTAGATTCCCACCTAAAATGTAAATGAGTAGCCATTTTAAGCAACGAGTAATTAAAATTTAATCATACACATAAATATTTGCATGAAAAGTTATGAAAGACAAAATGAAAAATATATAATCACACTTTAATTTTAGCTTTGTATATTTAAGCTTGAAGTTATATTTTGCTTCAGGTTTTTTTAACTGAAACACTGTTAAATGTCAGTATCACTGAAAATTAAGAAAAATTAAAAGAAATTTAAATTTTTTGTGTTATATTCTCTTAAGTATATCATGCCTTTTAGGGACAAGCAATTAGATTAATAGACATCAAATTCTTACAAAAATACACTAACGCATACTAGTATGGACTAGTCAAAAATCTGCTATTTCTCATTCTAAACCAAATATACTCAACCTCAAAGTGGAAATTAATTTACTTTTTATTTTTAGAAATGAGATTATGAGGGGTTTAGGGGTTTTTTGCTAATATACACCTGAGATTTTATATTATGAAACACTGATCTTACTAGAGACGAAAAGGCATAACAGCAATTTTGACAGAAGGGAAGGTTCAGAATGTGTGATTATAAACATGAAATCACTAAGTAAAGCCCGGCCCTCAGGAAGATCCACCAGAGGTGAAGAAGAAATCACGAGAGCTGCTTACCTCGGGCACGATTCACCAAATACAGGCAGACCACGGCTAAAAGTGACACTGGAAGACACAAGGCACCCTTGTAAGTGACGCCTCTGTAATCACAATTAACGCATAAATCAAATTCCTCTTCCTGGGTGCAGGGGTTTGACTAGACGGTCTCCACAGACTCATGCATTTGAACGCTTGGTGTATAGAGACTGGCACTATTGGAGGTGTGGCCTTGTTGGAGTGGGTGTGGCCTTGTTGTGGAAGTGTGTCACTGTGCAGCAGGCTTTGAGGTCTCATTTATGCACAAGTTATGCCCAGTGTGGGGCAGTTCATTTCCTGCTGCTCAGGGATCAAGACGTAGAACTCTCAGCTACCTCTCCACCACCATGTCTGCCTGCACGTGGTCATACTTCCCACCATGATAATGGACTAAACTCTGAACTGTAAGCCACCCCCAATTAAATGCTTTCCTTTATAAGGGTTGCCATGGTCGTGGTTGTCTTTTCACAGCGAGAGAAACCCTAAGACAATTGGCATTTTAAAAAACACAGGTCTTTGTTTCTGAAAGCTCTCAAGTGCTGCCGCGTTTTCCCTACAGGGAATCACTGCTCCTCAGCTCAGGGATGACTTGGCCAGCAAATGGCTGGCACCTCACAGGAAGGAGGGAGCCAACACCCCCACAAACACACGTGTGCGAGCTCTCTCTCTCTCTCTCTCTCTCTCTCTCTAACACACGTGTGCGAGCTCGCTCTCTATCTCTCTCTCTCTCTCTCTCTCTCTCTCTCTCTCTCTCTCTCTCCTTCCTCACTTCTCGCCCCAGAACTTCAGCCAGCTCCTGGCCAGTTTGTCACTCCACAGGAGTAGGCTTTGCAGGGATTTCTCATCTGGCAACACCATGTGTCTTTATAAAGGAACAAATGAAAATGTCCCCCTTAACTTCCCACCCGGAGCCAGTTCAGAGCCCACAAGGTGGAGCCTGGCTGCCTGCCCTTACTTGCTGAGGCACACACACTGTTTAACTTCCTTTAGATGATATGGCAAACCCAACTGTGAAAATCTGCACATTTTACTCTATATCATAAGAAAGCAAATGCTGCCACATGGCACACTCACAAGAAACACAGGCAATGAAGAAAACCTCCAAAAGCAAGTATCCCCGAGAATCCAGTATCATGCCAGCAAGGATGGAAATGACGGCCAGCCCGAGGTTCTGAATGGATTGCATGCTAGGATTTGGGGATAAAAAAAATCATTTCATTCTCCAGAGTCTTCATACACAGACTAACTTCACTATTAATATTAGTATCACAGACCACACATTACGGGTGTTACGGAAGACTCTCAGCCAGGGAGCACATGGGTAGATTTTGGGTTTTGGAGACAAGGCAGCTATGTAGCCCTGACTGGCTTGGAACTCACTCTGTAGACCAAGCTTGCCCTGAACTCACAAAGAACCACCAGGCTCTGACTCCAGAGCGCTGGGATTAAAGGTGTGTGCCACCACTCCCAGCAGATTTGGGGGTTTCTCCTAGACTGTTCCTGCTACTCGACCATCGGCTCCAAGGCAAGGGAAGTGTGAAACGCCTGCCTGATGAAGGAAAGGGAGAGCTGTCTGCACAGCAGTCACCGGAGCAGGCACCCTTCCTTGCCTTTGGGAGCCTGGGATACCAATCACCCTCCCACTGAGCAGAGCTCAGATGGACAGGAGTGGGCATGTCTCCTATGGGTTTTAGCTTCTGCCAGCTGTCTTGCTAGGGGCTTCCCTTGCTGGATGGCCAAACGTAACTAACTGTGTTTGTCTGGACTGAGGAGCACCCAACAGAAAAGAACCCTTCTAGGTATGTCTGTTGGTCATGTCTGGAGGAAGGACTTCAGCAGGAAATCCTGGACGTGGCTAAGCACCACCCATAGGCTGGAGACCTGATGAAAATAAAAGGGCCTGTGATGGCTATTCTTGGCTGTCAACTTGACCACATCTGGAATTATAAAACCCAGAAACAGAAGGGCACACCATGAGGGAATTTTGCTTAATTTGAAGTAAGATCCATCTCTAATCTGGATCTTTGAGTTAGGAAGATACTTTTAGGTGGAAAGACCCACCTCTAATCTGAGCTCGTCTTTTGCTGGAAGCAGATATAAGGGCATGGAAAAGGAAGCTTTTGCTCTTTGCCTGCTTGGTCTCGGCTCCCTAGCAAGACCATTTCTTCACTGGCCTTTAAGCCTACATCTTCAGAATCCAGAGTATACTGAAGACCAGCTGAGACATCCAGCCTCATGGATTGAGCAGCTGCTGGATTCTTGGACGTGGCATTCATTGACAGCCATTGTTGGACTAGCTGGACTGCTGACTGTAGCCACTCCACAAGTCCCTTTCTACATAGAGAGGTGCATTCCATGAATTCTGTTACTCTAAGAGAGCCCTTAGTAATACAGGAAGAAAGGCCTGAGAGCAGGTATAGGGGGTGTGTGTGTGTGTGTGTGTGTGTCTGCCATGATGGATCTGCCTCACCACTAGCCTAGAATCAATGGAGTCAAGAATTATGGATTGAAACCTCTAAAACCAGGAACCAAACTAAACCTTCTCCATTGAATTGTTTTCCTCAGATCAATATTAGAGAAAATGACCAGAAACACCACAACAGTTGCTTACAACGGACCAACTGACGTTTCCAGTCACCCGCAGGGTCAGCGCTGTCCCAGAGCTCTGAGTATCACTACAGTTAGGACACACACAGCATCATGATAACTGACAGGGCGGAAGGCAGCCTGTGTGACAGGCGATGAAAAGGCAGTACTTACAACCCGTACGCAGTTCCCAGCTGGTGTTCCGGAACTACAAATGCCACCATTGGCCACAAAGCACAGGCAAGCAATGAGTAAGAGAGTCCCAGGAGACACTGGACAGGAGGACAGAAGGATATAGTATGTGATATTCCTTGATAAACATTAGTAAAGTCACAGACTAGCTAAATGGAAATGTAAATAGGTTTTGCTGTAATTAGACTAAAATCTGAAGCGCTTGGGCCTCTCTCAGTGCCCAGCACTGTCTTAACCATTTTCAATTGTGTGTATAAGCTGTCTGGGCCACTGGGTAGTCAAGGGCACAGACAATTTCCAGGAAGTTCTTATCCAAGTTTCAGGCATGATTTTTACCTGATTTTTCTTAATAACAGATGAAGTAATCAAGGCAGCAGGGTGAGTTATTCTACTGCTGCCCGTACAGGACCAATTCTGAACTGAAAAGCAGAGCAGGGATCCAGCTGCCATCATCACTTGTTAGACGCTATGTGACAAGGCCCTTTCCGCAATAAAAAACAAAAAAGAACTTGCTGACTCTGCTGGCAGCAGGCCTGCAGATGTGCACCTCTGAGTGCAAGGCCAGTCGAGTCTACACAGTGAATTTGGAGATAACTTTAGCTGCATACAACAAGAGTATGTCTCAAATTAGAAAAAAAAAAGAGTGAAAAAGAAAAAGCATGATTTGAATTTAAATTAAGTATTACATGTACCTATCAAACTGGAAAATAAGAAAATAATGCTGACACCCAACATTAGCAAGGCTAACAGACACATCCGGGCACTCCTGGCACAGTTACAAATGAGGAAGGAGTCCCTGAGCATCATAACGTAAGACGTTCCCTGTGCAAAGCCTCCAGGGCAGCACTCCTATCCCTAGGGCCCGGATGTCCCTGTAGGAGACTTCCGGGGAATTGCCCACTGATGCCCACGGTGCTCCAGTGAGAACAGGTAAGACACACAGCACTTCAGCCTGCACTCTGAAAACAGACACCAAGAAGACGGCGAAACCTTCACGGACTTCCTGCCACCTTTAATCCTACCAAGAATCAGAGACAGAAGGATGGCTACTGGGCCAAAAGATCGGTCACTTTTAATGAAATGACTTATTTTAATGCAGCTCAGAAAAATAAATGGAAGTAATTAGTTTTCCAATCATGAGACTATTCTGCTTCCAATTCTACTTCGGCTTTGACGGCTCCCTACTAAATAAGCCAAATGAAAAACAACCCTCATACGTTAGTAATTGATATTCACTTTGTCAAAATTATCACCAAGTCACGTCCCCCTCGGCACTGCCAGCTGGGTTTGCCAGGCACACCAAGCATCCCTGAGCGCTCTCCGAAGCCCTGATCATCCCCCGCTAATCACCATAGCAATCCACGGGTTCCAGAAGGTGAAGGCCAGCATCATGTGGGACACGAGAGTGGTAGCTACTGCACACAGGACCCAGATGACGTTCTTCCCAGTTTTGTCCACCAGGAGTCCGAATATTGGGGACATGGGAGCTGATATGACATACACGATACTGCCCAGAGAGCACAGGAATTACCAGAAGGCCACACAGCATCTCTACAAACAGCAGACTAAGCAAGTCCAGCTTGTTAGTTCAGCACTCTTCTCAAATGACCGCCAGAAAAGAGAAAGAGAAAAACCAAGAAGAATTCTTTGTTTTTTTTTTTTTTCCCCTTAATGCAAAGCCAAGTCTTTGGGACTGGGGTCTGCAGTGTTGGGGGGGGGCTGGGGTCACACAAGTTTTCTGGCCTCTCAGGCACGGCCTCTGCTTATGAATACCCATATATCACATGCAACAAGAACTTATAGAATTGCACCAAATACCTGTTAATTGCACTTGCTGACTGGGGAGAAAATCCAAATTTCTCTATGAAAAAAACTCTAAAATTAAAAAAGAAAAGTGTGCACATTAGGAGAACTACTTTCACTTCATGAAATAAAGACAAGTTAAAAAATAACTCTAATGTCCAATGGGCTTTCCTTTCCTGATAATATTCTCCCACTGTTATCTTTTATCGATCACGTGGCACTCCGCTGCAGCTTAAGAACTCATGGGACTCCTTCACTGACTCAACTATGCCTGCCCACACGTCGTCAGAACACCAAAGTAACAGCAGAACAGTAGAGTCCTTTACTGTGCAATAGAGTTCTTGCCACTGTGACTACGTGGTTTTAAAGATTATAAAGACATAAAAACACAATTCCTGCAAACACATCTGCACCTCACACTGCAACAGCCAATGAATGAGGTGAGAAGCAGACGAAGCAAGCAAGCACCTGCCTTGAATCCTGATCCTAAGTCTGGCAGGATTGACCCTAAGTGGACAGGCACCAATGCACAACTTCCATTCATAATAAGCAGCCTCCTGATCCAAGAACGAAAGAAAATTTTAAAGGATTTCTTCAAGAGAATAATGAAAGTATTAAAACAAAGCTAAGCCGGGTGCTGTCAATGCCCACTGTATCCCAGAACATGAAATACAGTAGTCTAAAAATACACTGTGTCCAGAGTGGCAAAATAAAGACAGAAAGTACCCATTCATCGACGTGACTCAGCTCTCGTGGTAACTTACAGGTGGGCGGACAGCTGGAGGATACTCACTTGCCCAGGCCGATGAACGGGAACACCGCTGCGTAGTAACAGACACAGATGAGGAAGACCAGCCACAGGGGCAAGGAGAAGTCCTTTATGTCAGTTAGCTTAATGACTTCACCTTGAGAAAGGGAAGACGCGTTGTTTCATAAACCTAAGGACCTTTCATCTATAGTCACCATTTTTACTCACATAATTAAACTTTTTTTTTCTGGAAAATTCCACAAATAGCATCTCTGAGACAACTTACAAGTAATAGGGAAAAAATAGAAGGTACAGTTGTTCCCATCTATGGGAACTAAAATCACTTTACTAATATGAAAACAGAATCAAGAATGTACAGTCTGTCAAAATGTTTAAACGGAGGAATGCATACAAAAATTTAGATAAGCAGAAATGAGTCTGAAGATATAAACATTCGACGCCACAGCACTGCACTGTGGTTGTGCCACCATAAAGCAGCTTTAGAGATGCCTTAGTTTAGTTAGAGGCTTCACCCCAGCCCCCGGCATCCTATAGCCAGAGAGTCTGGAATGTTCAGGTGGAGGTTCCATCCCAAACCCCCTCCCTAGGGAGTTGCCTCAGTCCAGACTCCACCTCTGAGAAAGTCAGCCAAATGGTGACCCTTCCCCAGAGATGCTCAAGACCACTCTCACCGGGTATTTAAACTGCCCTCCTAGAGAACAAACAAGTGGTTTCCCGGTCTTCCTTCCCCATCTCCTCTCTGAGGGCCTGGAAGGTCACCTGGGAGTGTTAGTATCCATTAAGCCTGGGCTTTTTCTAACTCGGTTTGATTTGGTCTGATCTGGATTATTTTCCGTGCCCTCCGCCCCACTCTTCCTCCAGGGTGACATACCTGTTTTTCCTTGCTCTTTATGAAGGATTTTCTCTGCTCTCCGATCCAAATAGGCAAGGACCAGGGCGCAGATTAGTGAAAGAATGCACGTTACACCCCCTAAATAAAAGAGAGAAATTTCAGAAAAGCCCAGAGGCTGGGAAAGCTGCACCTACACAAAGAGCAGCAGTGTGGCCACTGAGGAAAGGGAAATAGAGTCAGGGCTAAGAAAAGCAGACCACACACACACAAGAGGGACAGAGCGGCAGACAGCTGGCAAGCAAGGGTCACCTTTATCACAGTATGGCTCAACAGAAGGTTGGAAACTAGAAGGAAAATACTGGAACAAAACAGCCTGGGCTTACAGAGACTGGGGAGAGCGGATGGCTGCTACAGAAAGGTGAAGACAGGAGATCCTCGGAGCTCACTGGCCATCCAGTCTAACTGAGTGGCCTCAGTGAGAGACCTTGTCTCAAAACCTAAGGTGGGGAGTGACGGTAGAATACATCTACCACTGACCCCTGGCCTCCACACACATGTAACATGTTCACCTATATGCAAATGTGCGCAGAACAACATGAACGCATACATACATCACAGAAAGAGAGGGGGAGGAACTTCCAGCTGAGCAGCACACTGTGTATGTTCCAATTCAAAGAACGTGGGTTCTGCTGCTGCCACCGACACGGTGATGCCTTTGGACACAAACTTGACCTCTCTGAGGCTCAATTCCTCAGGTATAAAATAAAAGGCTTTGAATTGATGATGGCCAATTTCTTTTCTACCTCTGAAATTATTTAAAATTCTCTATGTGGAGAAAACTAAATGGAATGTTGAAGAGCAACGACAGTAAAAATAACTTTAACTAAGACAGAGCAATTGAGAAGGAGGGTGTGGGGAGAAAGCAGCCTGGAGATAGGATTTCCGTTAGCCTCACCCCCACTACCTCTTTAACCGGCTGTGTGCATCAAGCAATTACAAGCAAAAGAAGACATGAGAAAGCAAGCTGCACCTCACTGCTCCACAAGCCACTGTGAGAAGCCGGTGACACCCGGGGCTCATCACACATCTGAGATCTGTGCAGAGCAGGCTGGCAGGTACACACAGACCTTCATATTCCACTCAGTCACTCAGCAACTGGCACCATGGGGCTGGCTCAGCGAACCAAGGGACAAGAGGAACCCACCCAGTATGCAAAGACGCGCAAAGACCACTAGTAATGGCGACAGAGAATAATCCCAGGCTCCCGGATTTAACTTAGTGGACTTTTCCACCACGCCAAACCACTTCTCTCTAGCCTGAGCAAAAAGCTCCCAGCTTCCTCCTGCTCTCTGTGACTGTGAGTTCACCTGGACACACTCCCTGGCTGACCTCACTTCACACACACAGTCTCTTTGAACATACAATATCCAAAAACAGCACTGAGGTACACATGGGAAAATCAGGTCCTCCTTCAGAAGTGCCAAGGTGTAGGACTGTCTATTTCTAACCAGAAGAACTAGTGAACTAAGGAGGCAAAATCACAACCCATAACCACAGTGTCGGCACTGAGTCTAGAGTTCCTTCTCCTTTGGCACAGTATCTCCTATCGCAGGCCTTCAGAGGACAAGACACGGGACAGAAGGATTCACTCACCAATCATGAGTGTCACTCCCAGGGTCAGGTGGCCAGCGGTGCCCAATGAAGTCTCGATTTTAGTATACAGCCATCCCATGAGGTTCATGTTCACTGTGCTTCCCTGAGGAAGAAAGAAACAACAGTATTCTCAATTATAATCTCTTGGGGGAGGGTTTACTTATTTACTTACAGTATCTCAGTAAAGTAAGTGTAACCGGAGTCCACATTACACGGAAGATAATGTGGATTAGACTGAGGTGGGAAGACACACCTTTAATCCAGATCCTTTGAGGCAGAAGACCCACCTCTAATCTGGGCAACACCTTCTGCTGGAAGTCTACATAAGGACCTGGGGAAAGGAAGCTTTTGCTCTTTGCCTGCTTGCTCACTCCTTGCTTTCAAGCCCATTTCTTCACTGGCATTGGAGCCTACTTCTCTGTAGAGCACTTCTGAGGCAGGGTGCCAAAATTGATGAGAAATTAGACAAGCTATAATTGGTGAGAAATTAGGCAAGCTATATTAAGGCTCTGAACTAATCAATGTTCATTTTACTGTCTTATGCTATTTATGGATGCTTTACTGAAGACAAAGTGCGGTGGTTTGAATAGGTATGACCCCCATAGACTCATGTGTTTGAATGCTTGACCCAAGGGGAGTGATACTATTAGGTGTGGCCTTGCTGCAGCAGGTGTGGCCTTGTCAGAAGAAGTGTGTGTCACTGTGGGAGCGAGCAGGCTTTGAGGTCTCATATGGTCAGCTACCCCTAGTGTGGTACACAGTCTCTTTCTGCTGCCTGCAGATCAAAACGTAGGACTCTCAGCTCTTTCTCGAGCACCATGCCTGCCTGCATGTTGCCAAGTCACTGATGATAATGGACTAAACCTCTGAAACTGTAAGCCAGCCCCAATTAAATGTTTTCCTTTATAAGAGTTGCCGTGGTCTAAGTGGATATTAGATGTAAAGTCAAGTATAACCAGGCTACAATCCTCAGCATCAGAAAAGCTAGGTAACAAGGGGGACCCTAAGAGGAACAGATGGCTCTCCTTGGGAAGAGGAAAGAGAAGAGATGTCCTGGGAAAACTGATGGGGGGATGGAGGGACTTGTGGGATCAGGATGGTCGAGTAGGGGCAGGACGGAGTGGGAAAGCAATGAAAGAGATGTCTTGATAGAGGGGGCCATTATGAGGTTAGGGAGAAACCTGGTGCCAGGGCCACTCCCAGAACCCACAAGGATGACCCCAGCTAAGACTCCTAGCAGACAGTGGAGAGGGTGACTGAAGTGGCTTTCCCTGCAATCAGATTGGTGACTACCCTAACTGTCATCACAGAGCCTTCATCCAATATCTGATGGAAGCAGACGCAGAGATCCGCAGCCAAGCACTGGGCTGAGCTGCAGAAGTCCAGTTGAAGAGATGGAGAAGGGATTATATGAACAATGGGGGGAGGGGTCAAAATCATGAAGGGGAAACCCACAGAGACAGTTGATCTAAACTTGTGGGCACTCACAGAGTCTGGACAGTTAGGGAACCCGCATGGGACTGGCCTAGGCCCTCTGCATCTGGGTGACAGTCGTGTAGCTTGGTCTCTTGTGGGACTCCTAGCAGTGGGACCAGGACCTGTCCCTGATGCATGAGCTGGCTCTTTGAACCTATTCCCTATGGGGGGATGCCTTGCCCAGCCTTGATGCAAGGGGGAGGAGCATGGTTCTGCCTCAACCTGATATGCCATGCTTTGTTGACTCCCATGGGAGGCCTAGCCCCTTCTGAATGGAGAGGGAGGAGGAGTGGATGAGGGGGCATAGAAGGGACATGGAGGAGAGAGGGAATGGGAGGAGAGGAGGAGAAACTGTGGTTGGTATATAAAATAGTTACCACGGTCATGGTGTCTCTTCACAGCAATAAAGCCCTAACTAAGCCACAAAGTCAATGTCACTTTAAGTCCTAGAGAAGTATAAAAACAAAGGCTAGAGAAGTAGCTCCCTGGTTAGGGCACTTGCTGTGCAATCACGGGGACGAGAGTCCAGATCACAGCACCCACGTAACATCTCGGTGTCCCCTGTATGCCTAATAATAGAGCTCTGAGGAGACAGGAGACTGGAGCCTGCTGGCTTCCAGCCTGCATGAGAAAATGCCTAGGTGAACAGGGGGAGTGTGACAGAGAGTAACACCCAATGCCCTCCTCTGACCTCTGCATGCAGAGACACCTACATAGGACCACACACAAACAGGTGTTTCGGAAAGTGATATATAAAACCAATGCCTACTTCTTCCCACCCAAGTGTGCCCAGTATACTTCTAAGACTTTGAAGAGATAATTTTCTTCCTATTGGGCCTCACGAGGTCTGGCACCATACTTACAATTCTGGCCATGCTGAGTTGGAGTCCAAACACCAGATTTAATTCTTTGCCTTTAAACCAACTCACGGCGTATGTGTTCTGGGCAACTGCTAAGGACTCTCCTCCAATTCTAAATGTGGGGGAAGAAAAGTCACAGTTTTGAAAGAAACCCCAGCTAGCAATTCCAACTCTCCTCCCCAAAAGAAGTAGGACTTCTGTTCCCTCTTGAATGGTGGTAGGTTTGAGGGCTCCACCCAAGAAGACACAGTGAATGGATACTGCGTGGTCATAAGCATCCCAAAGATGGCATCGGCCATTTCAGCCTGGCACTTACAGCTGGAGTCCTAAGTTAGTTTGCACAAATGGTAACCATTCCCATGCTACACGAAAGCAACCCACACGAGAGGCACCACTTGAAAACAAACGGCTCTTCATGGCACCCAAGTATCCAATATGCAAAACAACAAGCTGCAGGTGATTCCAGCCTCTGGCCTTCCATGAATCTCTGCAGCAGAGACCCCAGACACCAGGACAGACAGCCTACCCACATACTCCACCTGCCACAAACTGTAAACAAATATGATGACTGTCTTCTATTGTGACGTGTTGGAATGATGCGGCAAGCTGAGCTCGCAATCATGACATGCAACGAAAGGAGCCTGACCTCTGCACCATCTGTCCTACACAAAACACTGAGCGGGGGAGTGTCCTGCGTTCACATTTTGTAAAACCGGAATCTCACTTTTCAGACCAATACGCAAAGCACTTACAGAATCAACATTCTTCTACTTCTGGGGTTCAAATGTTCTTCCACTTAGCTCCACACGTTTATTACTACCCCCTTGAGACCCATTTCAAAGATGTCACCTCCAGATCCTAAAATAGGTCCTGCCATGGCTCTGTCCTAGTCCAAAGGTATCTTCCTCCTCATCTACAAATAAGTTCCCACACTCTCACTTCACCCATGGGGCCATTTCTAGCCACATTTTTGCTCCAGAATCTCTTTCAAGGTCTTCTATACATTTTTATTTCCTTCAGAGATACACCACATCTATCTATCCACGTGCCCTTGGTGCCTCTGAAAAAAGACTTCCTTCTGTCAACTGTATGCCTCAGGGTAGGAAGCCCGCGGCTGGACTCAGAACAGGTTTGTGTAGCAGACACTGAAGTGTACCTGCAAGCAGTCAGCCTAGAGGTACCGCTACTTCAAGACACCTGAACAGTGAGCAGGAAGACTTACGCACCACTCACTCAGGAAAAGACGCCCAGAGTAACTGACCTAGAAACTGATGGTCTATACTTTCATGAATGGAAACAAATCTGTCTTAAATGCAATCAGGAAAAACATCGTTTCTGAAGAAGCTTATAATTGCAAACTCTACAGCTAACCACGATCACTCAAAACACTGCATCTCGGTTAAAACAAGTAACCAAGAAGAACACTACATATTTAGGCTACATTTCAAGGATGTGAAATAATTACTTGAAATAATGATGTATTTCTTTTAAATCCTCAATAAAGGACAAGTATTGTGGGTTAGTGCATAGGTTGAGATATGGAAGGCCCTGGCTTTAGTCCTTAGCATTAAACAGATCCTCAATAAACATGCTAAGATAACATGAAATTATGGAATAACTTACCCAAACACAAACCTCCCAAACTCCATCAGCCAAAACGCATTAACTATTCCACCCAGAGCAAAAATAACCTGTAAATAGTAATAGAAAAATAAATTCAGGACATTTGAAAGGGATGAGTAACACAACAAACCCTTATTCTCACAATAATCTTATTAGCCAGACTAAAAAATCTGAGAAATTAAAATATCAATGCTCATGCATTTAACGGGACTTATGCTGGCCAGGAGGCAAGCCTCCAGCATGACCCTGAGAGATCTTCTGGATCAGGTTAACCCACAGGCAAATATCCACCCAAACGTGGGTGACGCCATTCTCTGAGCTGAGCAGCATGAAGGGAGAAAGCAAGTTGGGCGGGCACCCTCACTTTCTGCTTCCTGTGACACACACGCTACAAGCCACAGCATTATACAGTAATTGCTCAGCCAGCTTTTCAGGAAGCGACTCATCAGAGCCAAAAGCTTTGCTGGAGGTTTAAACCAAGACACAGGGCATATTGGAATCATTACCTTGTGAATAAAGTGGCTGCTTCTTGCTGTAAGATTTCTTGCTGTAGCTATCCCCCTTCTGTTACAAATCTGGGGTTTATCTCCTGCAGTTCAATACTATTTGAGCTATGTCTGGAGACAGTCACACAATCTAGAATCCCGCTTCCCACTACCAGGCCTTTACTCCTCTCTCCTATGTAAGCATAGAGATCTGCCTTCCTGCATTTTTGTTTTTTATTAGCAGGCATTTGGTCATCATTTAGGATCCAGGCAAAAGCACTCCATTTAAGAGATTCCCAGATATCCAAGGACATAGAATTACTACATGCCTAAAGCTGTTAATTCATAGCTGCTCACATAAACAGGAAAAAATAAGCATGCTTTGGTTTCACCTCACTTATAGATCAGGAAAGTGATGACCTAAACCTAACCTTGCATTAAAAGATTCCTAACTCCTCACCTCACCTTTACCTCCATGTAACGATGACTTTAGTTCAGGAGATTAACTATGAGTCTTACTCTCAGAAAAAATCATTAACCATCTACACACAGTGCAGAGGAAGACAAACCTCCACTGGCACCTCTGATAAGCACAAGCTTAAGAGTTTGCTAACAATGAAGCTTTCTAACATTTGACAAAAACGCTAATGGACCAAGGGTGATAAACTTCCCTTGTCTGTTTATATTGGTTGCCTGGTTACCTATGCCTGCAAGGTTTTGTGGGTCTTTATAGCTGGGTAAGAACAAAGAGAGTTAACACAAGTGGGAACAGAAAGAGGCTGGAGCAGAAGAGAGCAGAAGCATCCCAGAAATTAGCAGAGATAGAAAAATAAAAAAGAAGAAGAAAATGTAGAAGAGAGTTGGAATTGGAATCAAAATTGAGACAGAGAAGTTATAGACAGTTAAGAGAGAAGAATTAGAATGGAGAACAAGAAAGAAATAACAATAAAGAGACATGGATAGAAATGTTACGGGAGGTCCTCCCACTCCTCCAGCCTATCGCAGCTGAGATACCAGCCCATTGGGGTGTGGTCTCTCTCCCTTTAAAAAAGCGGCCACTTCCCTCTCCTCTCTCTCTTCACTTCCTGCTCCGCCGGCGACTAGACTCCCTTCCTGGTTGCGCAGAGGGCTGACAGTGATCTGTAAGTTTTTTCCCCTTTAAATAAATACCACCCTATTAATCATAATTCCAAACTGGTGTGGCATTGTTTATGACTTACGCCTTCATAGAAAGAGCATGTTGTGAGTAGACATCTTAACCTCCAGATTTTAGTTCCTTTAGCTTATTGTGGCATCTTTCTTCTGAACCCTGAGAGGAACCCTTAGAGGCTGGACCTTTACGGTTCCCAATAAGACACTGACTGCTTCATATTCCCACCAACATGCCTTCCCCCAAACTGTGGGCCAGAATAAACCTTTATCCCTCCTAAGTGGCTTCTGCGATTCACAGCAATGAGGAGAGCGACAAAGATGATGTAATTAAAGGCTTAAAATAAATGATACCACGTGGCCATTTGTGGGCCTGATTAATCAAGCTTGTCATTCATTAATCATATTTTGCTTGGGGAATTAGATTAGACTTCAAAGTCACTGTCATGAAATGAACAAATACTTTGGCCTTTCTTACCTGCCCAACGCAAACAAGGCAGCTGAAAATAACCGTGCCCCATCTGTGTGAGAGAGAAAATGTCATTTCTTCACCTTATTGTCAGTGACCAGAGTCCTGGACTAAGACTAACCAGCTGTGCGGGTTTGCCCACTCTACATGAATGCTCACCTGCAGCTTTCCTAAACCAGGCACTCATACACAGAAGCCCAGCATTCTGATGGGATTGCAGAGGTTCAGCAACAGCCCGGGCTTACGCATATCATCGTTGCCCCTTAAAACCTAAACAATCGTCAAAATGCTCCCAGGATCAGGCCATTAGAAATGGAAATTCTTTAATAAACTTCTGTTGGGGACTAGCGAGATGGCTTAGCAGCTAAGTGAAGATATCGCTTGGGCAGAGGACCCAAGGTCAGGCAGCTCACAACTGCCTGCAACTGCAGCTCCTGGGGATCCGGACACTCGGGGCATAAAATAAATCTCTATTTTTCGAGTTTAGAATTGGGTCTAGGAAGTTCTACAGTAGATAATTTAAGTGACTATAATTCTTGATAACTAAAAACTTCTTTCAGAAGACAAATCTTAGGCAAGTTAATGGAGTTCCAAGTCCAACTTTAGTCTAAGTAACAATATTTCACCAGCTCAATTAAAATAGCAGAATTAGAAGCATCTTCAAAAGTCACCAGAGTCAGCCAGGCGGTGGTGGCGCACGCCTTTAATCCCAGCACTTGGGAGGCAGAGGCAGGGGGATCTCTGAGTTCGAGACCAGCCTGGTCTACAAGAGCTAGTTCCAGGACAGGCTCCAAAAAAAAAAAAAAAAAAAAAACAAAAAAAAAAAACACAGAGAAACCCTGTCTCGAAAAAAACCAAAAAAAAAAAAAAAAAAATCACCAGAGTCAACTGTACTTCTGAATCTGAAACCCACTCAAAATCCTTGTAAAAAGACCACAGCATCAGCTGAATGTTCTCTACAACTGGAAAATTCAATGTCCCCAGAAGATTTATATCACCCCAATGAAAAAGCAAGTTCCTCCTCCGAATAAGTGGGATTAACTTCCCTTAAAACTCAGCTAATTCTATTCCTTGGGACGAAGCAAACTATTTCCTTCGTACTTAACTATTTAAGATTCTTAAAAGCAAACCCCAAGCCAAGCACACGAGAGTGCTTTCAACACTCATCCCTCAGACACGACTTCAATCCACAGCAGCAGCCTCGCTCCTGCCTTCCGAGGGAACTCCCAGCTGTGTTCCCCAAGTCTTCACAGCCAGCGCGAAAGGTAAAAAGTGACAAAGCTTTCTCGACTATTCCTCTTCAGCCTCTAACGTGCATGGCCAGAGAAAGGCGGAAACAGCGGGAAATTCGTAAGTCTTACCAGAGCTGAGGGATTGTCTCTCTACCTATGTGCAAAGACCTTACATCTCCAACTCTCCTTTAATCTCTGTGGACACTAGTCAGGCAGGAACTGTCACCCTACTGGGCAATGAGGAAGCCGAAGCTTTGAACAGTAGGGACTTGACCAAATGGCAGTGAGATGACTCACACCTGGATCGTCTGGCCCAAATTAAGAGCATAATTAACTTCCAGAAATGGATGACCTTATTCCATCAGCAGCATTCACTAGACCTGAGCTTAACTGATCAACCAAGCCTCAAGGATGAAGTCTAGAGACAAAAAAAAAAAAAAAACCTTCGAAAACAGAGCACCAATCCTCATGTCCATCATTGGTCACTTCACAAGTCTATTGAGTTCTTTGAAGAAAAACGTCAACCCATTCCTACATTTTCCCAATCACCAGTTAAGTTTGCCCACAAATTAACTTTTCTGCAAGCTTACCGTATTCCAAATATTCGGTCTATCAAAAAGCCACCCAAGAAACACAAGACTACATTGGGCCAAGAATACCAGGCATACAGCAGCATGAATTTCGTGGTATTCACTTGCATGTCCTATATGGGAAGAAAAGAAAACTTTTTTCCAAACGGGTTTAGCAATTAACAAGTCAAAACAAACAGTGATGACAGCTGTTAGGGTAAGTTCCTTGAGACTCTTGGGGAAGCTCCAATCCTTGCATTCAGAAGAACAGTCACACCTGGGCACGGCTTAACTCCACACACTGCTGATCGGGCCTCATGGATTCCAGGACCAGTCACTGGTATGGGGCACAACTCAGATTGTTTCTGTCTCCTACATCCTTACGTCTTCATTTCTGCCTGCATTATGGATTCCTCCCACATAGAAAAGAATCATCTTTGCCCAGTCTTATGGACTCTATCCTCTTTAACACCTACTAGAACACAGAAGGATAACCCGTGAACTTTCCCTCTGCTCAGTGGCTTAAAAAAAAATAGACTCCCAACAACGGTCTAAGCGCCCAAGAAACAACAAATATCAAATATAATTTTACATTTCAAAACCAGACTACGGACGCTAATAGGGACAACACTCAGCAAACGATACCCACATTTATAAAAGTAAATAACAACTGAGCTTATCTAAGAAGGTCAAAGCCAATCCACAGATCACTTGTCCAGAGGGGTCGGCAGCGGGAGTGTAAAATCTCAACAAAAACCGGCATTTTTAGCAACCCAAGTTCACAATTATCTACCTAAAGAATGAAACTATATGCCATCTATGCATCATCCATGAGTTCTTTGGGGAAGCAAATATGATCCCAAGAAGCCTGCAGCTTGTGGGCTTGCTGATGACACTAGAATGGAAAGCAGGCAGACCTTTCAGATGGGGCACCCGGAGAGCTCATGGTACCAAGTCAGTGTCCCAAAACAAAGAGCAGCACAAGAATGTGGAAAATGAACTCACCCGTTTAATTTGAGTCTGGAGGGCAGCGGGGCTGTCATAGCAAAAGTAGCTACCTAGGGAAGAAAGAGCGCATATGTCAGTCGCAATGATCAAGTCTGCACAGAAGTCTACAAGGCCTAATTACAAGCCCTAATTAGTAACTAGGCTGGGGAGTTGAAGGCTTACGCTATTGCTCATGCCATGGAAACGTTTTGTAGACACTTCCTCATCTGCCATCCAAAAGAACTTCCACAATTGAGCAATGTGCATACCCAGCAAATAACAGAAACCTAACAGCCACTGTTTTTAATCTTTTTTTCTTCATGCTTCCCATGCTTATTACTGTATTAATATTGTCATGAAATAGCTTCATTTTCCTTTCTTAAAGCCATCAACACTAAAAATCCTACATTCTTTACAGTTGCAAGTTAGCTGCAGTCACTTTTCCTGAAAGCAGAATTAACTTCCACTATTCAAACCAAACCAGTCTTTGAAATAAATTCTCATCCTGTAAACAAAATACCCAGGAGCAAATGACTACGTGAATATGGTACTAGAAACAACAACAACACCGAGAGACTAAAGGATCAAGCGAAAATATAACACGGTCTCCTCTGAGGAGTTAGAAGCTCGAGTGGGGAGAGAGATGTTATCCATGACCGAGAGAAGTATCTCAACAGTGGCTGACAGGCTTGAGGGGCCCCGAGATAACACTGCCTGTTTCCACACTGACTGCAGATACCCAAAGTTACCGGTACCAAGGTGGGCAAGGTAACTAGGGAGGCAGGACTCAGCTTCTCAAATCCTTAGCCCAATCTACCTACCAAAAACAAGCTGTCAGCTTGAGGAGGGACAGAATCTTCAAGTGTTTTGTCTTTGCTTCTTTGTTGTTGATTCTAAACCTAGAACTTCTAGTTCCTAGTTTAGTTTTTAGTAAGAGATTCAATACCAAGGTTTGTTTGTTGAGACCCGATCTCACTCTAGTGCTGGCTATCCTCTGTAACTAAGAGAGTCACCTGTTTCTGCCTCCCAGGACCGGGATTAAAGAAGTACACCACCAAGCCTGGCCCAGTACCACCACGTTTTAAAGCAAAGGAATGGGTTCCATTGTTCCAAAAACTAGTCAACAGCATGTACAAATTGCAAAGAAACCAAAGCCAAAAAGTGTCCGCTATACACCAGGAGCATATATTTCTGAATCTGATCCCTGAAATGACACTTTCGAGTCAATCCACTATTTATGAATCGGACCACTTGCAGTGTAAATTTAAACTGTAACAGAGGAGGGAAATATGTTTTAAAAAGAATCTTAAGAAACTGCTTTCCGAGGATTAGATTTCTTAAGTGAAACCAAAGCCTCCAAACAAGTGGGGTCCTGTAGGGCTGTTTGACACGGGAAAGGTAAGAAAAGACGCCTACTGTTAGGCTGCCAGCAAGGTACAGTGAACCCAAAGCCCGTGTGAGAGCTCAAGAAAGACCAAGAAACGCGCCCGCGGTGGGCGGGGGGGGGGGGGATGTCGTCTAGGGAAGGGAGGGAGAGGGATTTGAACAACGCTCAGAAGTCTCCTGAGCACAGTGCTCCGGGGCAAACAACTGAGATTCCTTCTCACCCCCGTCCCCAGGGAGGAACTGCTGCACTCTGGGACTTAGCAGGAACAAAAGTCGCCAGCTCTGTCCCCAGGCCTCGCTCGCGACAAAGATAGAGGGGGTCCCAAGCCAGGACGGCAGAGCGGATCGGGGACTCGAACCCCGGAATCCCTCGATCGTTCTCCCTAACCCTCCCGGGCTCACCGAAGCCGAGGAAGCACATCAGCAGGAGCACCACGAGCCGGTGCGCCAGGTGGCTGGGGTCGCAGAGCGCGGACAGAGCGCGCGGGGCGCCCCGGACCGCGCTATCCCCCTCGGGCCGGTCCCCAAGCAGCGCCCGCGCCTCCTCATCCTCCTCCTCCATCGGACTGTAGCTCGGAACGGAGCGGGAAGCAAAAGCAAGGCTGGAGAGATGACGCTCACGTGACCGCGTGCGCTCACGTGACCCCCGCGAGTCACGCACCGCCGTGCTCACGTGAACGCCTGTTCACGTGGTGGCGGGGCATTTGTTTACTGCGCTTTCTGGTCCACTGATGTGGGTGGGATGAGGTGAGGTGGATCGGGTCCTCCCGCTTCCCGTTAGCGTCTGGTTTAAGACCAGGAGGGTGTACGGGTGCAAAACTCCCAATGGGCGGCTCGATTTGAGCAGGTAGGGACCTCAAAATCCTTCTGCAGCTGAGCCCCCTCTCTCCCTCATTTCGCCAATTCCTCCTGCTCCCGGACCTTCTGATGTGCCTAGCACTGATGTTGGGGAAAAGGACGAGTTCTCTCACCTCGAGAGTACGGGTGAGAGAATTTACTTAGGGAGCCAGACAGAAACGAATAAATCTGGAGGCTGAATGACTGCAGCGGGAACGGGCATTCCTCACCAATGTCTCATCTGGGTTTTATGCGTTTATAATTACACGTTATATTGATCCTGGAATAAGAGAAGGAAGTCGAGAGTAGCGGTGTGAAACGACCTGCATGAAGAGCCCTTCTAGGATGGCCAACAGAGAATCAAGACCACTAGGCTTGTTTTGAGAGATTCAATTTGGCAGCGCAGCAGCCTTCTACCCCACTTTTCTAGGTGTCCCAAGGCTTTGGCCAGTAGAATTTGGAATGTAGCAAGACTAGGTGCTAAAAATAGCTATGAAACACGCGGCAGAACTGAAAGTGAGAGACTTCGAGTCTGACCCAGGAGAGTCCATAGGCTTGGCACAAAGGAAAGATTCAGGGACTGCCTACAAGGTAAAGGAGGGACGTGTTTAAACAATAGCATATGAGATCTGAAAGAAGAGGGGGCCTTTTGAGTGTCTACCAGATGTCTAGGGTGGCTCTCCAAAGAGATCCAAAGAGAGGGGCTGGGGAAGTAGAGGCAAGTGTCCGAGGAGAGATGATTTGGAATAGTTACACAGAATCTGCTTTCTACCTCTTAGCCCTCTGACTAACAAGCCGGTCACTCCATCTTGGACTTACTCTTTCACTAAACAGCTGTACCACAGTGAAGGGTCTAGACCATCAATTTACATCTGCTGAGTGCCCACAAGATACATGACTAAATGTCTTGTGTTAGCTTCTTTTATGTCAACTTCACAAGCTGAAGTCACCTAAGAGGAGGGAACCTCAACTAAGAAAAAGTCTCCATACCCCCATCAGTTCTGACTTCTCGCAGGCAGAATAGCTGGCCCCAGGATAAAGGGAATGGGAGAGCTGGCCCTGCTGAGCACCAGCAGCACCGCAGAAGAGTAGGTCCTGAACCTAGTGGGCAAAACAGTAGAGTTGACCCTGGTGGTGTGGGTGTGAGTGAGCGTGCCCCTGCCCCAGGGCAGGAGAGCAAGGGAACTGGCCCTGCCCCTTGCTGCCTGATGCATTGGAGGAACTAATTGGGACAGTGCCGGAGAGTTCACCCTAGGGGTGAGGATGAGGGAGAGCTGGCGGGGTGCTGACCGACCAACAGAAAGTCCAGGACAAGTCCCAGTGAGGGCCTAGTATTGATGGTGTAGCAGAATGCAGAGGCATCGAGTCAGACCAATGACTCATTGCAAAGAACACTTGCAAGTAAAGATTATGGGCTAAAGGGTATCCTGTGTGACTCACTGGGCCACACTACACCTTCCATGACACATTTTTTCTGCAGGGTTGGGGAGAGGTTGCAAGGGCAGATACAAAGGGCCAGTGTTGGGCCCATGGGGGTTGTGCAAAGATGGGGACAGGCCACCAAAGTCTAATAAACTAGAAGCAAACTTTGTTCCAGAAATTCCAGATTCAAGGATAAAATAAAAAATAAAAAATCTCCATGGGGCACAAAAAGCTTATCAGCTAGCTGAGACCACAGCCAGAGATGGATTTTGTAAGGCTGTGGCAAAGGCCGGTTTCAGAACCCACCTTTTTATACTAGGAAGGCTAGAGGTAGGGAAATCTCCCAAAATCAACTTCTTAGAGTAAGAGATTATGCTACTATAGAAGGGCAATCTTTATATGAGGACCATGCCCTGAATTTACGCCAGGCAGCAGCTTTGAATGCTTGGGACAGAATTGGAGAAGTAGGAAAGAAAATTGAGCCATTTACTAAAGTTATACAGGGCCCAAAGGAAGCCTTCATGAATTTCTTGCAAAGATTCACTTTACCAGTAAAGAGAATGATTCCAAATTCAGAAGCTGAACAAATGATAATTGAATCTCTCACTTTTGAAAATGCTAATTCTCAATGCAAAAGGATAACAAGACCTTTAAAGGCAAGGTCAGCACCTCTGGAGGAATGGATCCAAGATACAATCGTATTGCATTTCATGAACATGATGATGTTAGGATAGGAGAGATGATTTCTAAAGGTTCGGGGGAAAATCAAAATGTCAAGTGTGGCAAACAAGCTCATCTTAAAAGGGATTATAAACACGGCAGTCCAAAAAACATTTTTCTAAGAATAATCCATTCAGAGTGTCCCTCCTTTCCAGATTATGTTGAAAGTACAGCAAAGGCAGGCATTGGACTAATGAATGTAGGTCCATAAGGGATATTCAAGGTAATCTTTGCCATCAGGAAACTCCATGAGGGGCTTCTCATGGGCTACTATGCCAAATCTGGTTCAATCATTTCCTGCCATTGTAACAGAAACTCATTTCCAGAGCAATTAAAGAACCTAATGCCTATTGCAAGAAATCTGGATAATGGAACAGCTACAGAGGAGAGAGCAAATAAAGTGAGTATTTTGGCAAACTTCTATAAATGAACAAAGATCAAAATTAAAAATACGAATAAATGATATTGTCATTGAAGGTCTGGTAGACCTTTTCACCAGAATATTGACATCCAAATTGGCCTCTTCAGGAGGTAACTGTTCAGCTTTTAGAGACTGGAACTTTGTCTCAGGTAAAACAGAATGCAAGATGGGTCAAATGTATAGGGCTAGAAAGACAGAGAGGAAAATTAAAGCTGTATGTGGCTAATATAGCAATGAATTTGTGGGGACATAATTTGTTATAGCAATGGAATAATCAGATTAACATTACCCTAATCTTAGAAACATACCATAAATTAAGGTATGTTTATAAAAAAAATTAGAAGGTATTATAAAGAACAATCACTGGCCATTCCGGTTGTACAAGAAGAGGCACAACAACTGCTGATCTTTCAAAGGCACTAACAGCCCTGCCTTTAAAATGGTTGACAGGCAAACCTGTTTGTATTGCACAATGGCCTTTAACAACAGAGAAACTTTAGACTTTAGAGCAGCTGATAGGGAAGCAACTGAATGCTCAGCATATTGAAAAATCAACCAGCCCTTGGAGTTCTCCTATATTTGTTATTAAAAAGAAATCTAGAAAATGGCAGACTGTATCACATTTAAGTACTGGTAATAAGGTGATTGAGACAATGGGCTTTCTACAGTTTGGCATCCTTTTGCCTTCTCTATTACATAAAGGATGGCCTCTTATTGATTTAAAAGATTGTTTTCTCACTATACCTTTACAAGTAAAAGACAGAAAAATTTGCCTTCATGGTGCCTACTTACAACAATTCTCAGCCTGCTAAGAGATATCAATGGAAGATTCTCCCACAGGAAATATTAAATAGCCCCACCCTGTATCAATATTTTGTCCAGCAGCCATGGGAAATGATGCATAAGCAGTCTCCTCAATCTATAGTTTACCATTACATGGACAACATCATATTAGCTGATTCAAACATAGATGCTTTAGAAAGAATGTTTGAAGAAGTAAAGAAACTTTTGCCTTGTTGGGGGTTACAAATTGCTCCTGAAACAAATACAAAGAGGAGATTCTAATATTTATTTAGGCTAGAAAACAGGTTTACAAAAAATTAGACCCCAAAAGGTGTTGCGTGAAGTTTTACTCTTTTGGTTTTTTGAGGGGCCGCCAACCAGCTCCCAAATAAATCATATGGATTTATAAAAAATATAGATTTATATTATTTATTATTAAATGTATATTATTAAAAATTATAAATAATATAAATTAAGTATAAAAAGAATTCATGTGTGAATTCTTATTTATGAATGCCCAGTCTCAGCTTGGCTTTTTTTGTCAGTTTTTCTTAACTCATATTATCCCAGCTACCTTTTATCTCTGGGCTTTTATCTTTCTCTAATTCTGTTTATCTTACTTTCCTTCCAGGCTGGCTGGCTGACTGGCCCCTGATGTCCTCTTCTCCTTTTCCTTTCTTCTCTAGATTCCTCCTTCTATTTATGATCTCTGCCTGCCAGCCCCACCTATCCGGGTTCCTGCCTTATTATTGGCCATTCATCTCTTTATTAGGACCATCAGCTATTCTAGACAGGCACAGTAACACAGCTTCATGGAGTTAAACAAATGCAGCATAAACAAAAGTCACACACCTGAAAACAATATTCCTCCCTTTTTCTTTCTAAAAAACAATGAAAGGTTTTAACTTTAACATAGTAAAACTGTATACAGTAAGAACAATTATCAGGTGAAGATTACATTCACAATGTACTGAATTCCAATTCATTTGTGTCCGGTAAATTTAAAGAAAATACTACATAATCTATCCTATCTTAGTAAATAAAAAATTTTATACCTAACTTACTTTCCATCATATCTAGGAAAAGCTGCCACTATAACTATCTAGTCTTCAACTCCATCAAAGACACCAGAAGTATATAACATTATTTAAATAAACAAAAAGTTTATTGCAAATGACTTCTAAAACTTCTAGAAATAGCAGAAATATCTGACTGCCTGGAAGGTTACCCAATGTTCCTTTGCAACACTGGGGCACCCATCTTCAGCCTACAGGCCTGTAGTATCTGGCAGCCATAGAAAGTGCTGTAGAGACGCCTGGCATGGCTGGGGAGGGGGACAGAACACTTGCCACACAAGCATGGAAACCAGAGTTCTTGGCATCCACATACAGTTCTGAGAGTGGCCTGCATCCATCACGCCAGTGCTGGGAGCTGAAGACAGGCAGATCCAT